AGTTAAGCATTAAAAGCACTTGTTATCAATATGTACAAGCATTGCAATTAATCTCCCTGTAATTAAGATTAATAAAACAGGTAAGAAGGCTACTGTTTCAAGCAGAATTTAAAGAACTATAAACTTCTGGGAAGAAAACTGATGTGCCTTCTTGCAAACAACCACTGTTAATAATTCCTGGTCAATCCAATCACTCTTTGTTCCCCATGTCCCCAAAGAGTCTCTTCTCTAGAACACTGGGTTGTCCCAGGCCTTTCTGTGACTCAGATTTCAAGCCAGGACCTGGCACTGCTAGGTGTTCAAATCCCTGGGGCCCTTCTTCAGTTGTAGAAAATACAGTTGACCCTTGAACAATGTGAGGGTAAGGGGACCTGACCCTTTGTGCTGTTGAAAATCTGAGTCTCATGTTAGGCCCTCCATGACCAAGTTTCCTCTGTATCTATGGGTCTGCATTCACAGATCCAACCAACCTTGAATGGTGCACTAATATAGTATATCAGTTATGGTTAGTGTTAGTTTCTCAGCCATGTCCGACTCTTTGTGACCCCATGGACTGTAGCCCACCAGGCCCCCCTGTCCAAGGAATTCTCCAGGCAAGAATACTAGAGTGGGTTGCCATTCCCTTCTCCAGGGGATCTTCCCAACCCAGGGATCGAACCCCGGTCTCTCACATTGCAAGCAGATTCTTTAACATCTGAGCCACCAGGAAAGCCTGCATATAAGTGGACTTTATATGCAGTTTGAACTCATGTTGTTCAAGGGTCTGCTGTAGATGAGAGTGTTCTGATGCAAAGGAAAGCTTTCTCTACTTGGCTTTTTTTTTTGTTTTGTTTTATTTCTGGGGAGCAAAGTTCTTGACTTATACTTTTACTTATGACCTCATTCATCTGCTAACTTGCTTTTTATATTGCCTGCTCTACAAAATTGTTGTTTCTTGCATTACAATATGTGTAACTGAGCCTCTGATATAAGGATGATATATAGTTCTATATGAGATCAATGATTGTACTAGTGTAACTCTAGATATGGGAAGACGCAATATGAGGAAATATTTTCCTGGACCATAAGAGACTATTAAGACAGGTGGTTCAGAGACTTTGGGCACTGTTAATGAAACAATAGAATGGGAATGACTAGAGACCTCTTCAAGAAACCTAGAGATACCAAGGGAACATTACATGCAAATGGGCACAATAAAGAACAGAAATAGTATGGACCTAACAGGAGCAGAAGATATTAAAAAGAGGTGTCAAGAATACACAGAAGAACTATACAAAAAAGATCTTCATGACCCAGATAACCATGATGGTACAACTATTCACCTAGAGCCAGACATCCTGGAATGTGAAGTCAAGTGGGCCTTAGGAAGAATCACTATGAACAAAGCTAGAGGAGGTGATGGAATTCTAGTTGAGCTATTTCAAATCCTAAAAGATGATACTGTGAAAGTGCTGCACTCAACATGCCAGCAAATTTGGAAAACTCAGCAGTGGCCACGGGCCTAGAAAAGGTCAGTTTTCATTCCAATCCCAAAGAAAGGCAATGCCAAAGAATGCTCAAACTACCACACAATTGCACTCGTCTCACACGCTAGCAAAGTAATGCTCAAAATTCTCCAAGTCAGGCTTCAACAGTATGTGAAATGAGAACTTCCAGATGTTCAAACTGGATTTAGAAAAGGCAGAGGAACCAGAGATCAAATATCCCAGAAAAAAATCTATTTTTGCTTTATTGAGTATGCCAAAGCCTTTAACTGTGTGGATCTCAACAAACTGTGGAAAATTCTTAAAGAGATGTGAATACCAGACCACCTGACCTGCCTCCTAAGAAATCTGTATGCAGGTCAAGAATTCACAGTTAGAACTGAACATGGAATAACGGACTGGTTCCAAATCGGGAAAGGAGTCTGTCAAAGATGTATATTGTCACCCTGCTTATTTAACTTATATGCAGAGTACATCATGCAAAATGCCAGGCTAGNAAGGCAGGAGTAGAAGGGGATGACAGAGGATGAGATGGTTGGATGACATCTCGGACTTAATGGACATGAGTTTGAGCAAGCTCCTGGAGTTGGTGAAGGACAGGAAAGCCAGGCATGCTGCAGTTCATGGGGTCGCAAAGAGACACAAATGATTAACTGTACTGAACTGAATGAGGCTGGGTTCAATAACAGCATGTTGGGTGGCCTATCATTGAGATCTTCACCAGCCCTGGCAATGAGGGTTCCTAGTACCTGAGCAGGAAGTGAAGCTGGGCCCTGGCTGTGAAATCTCCGGGTCCTAACCGCTGAACTGTCAGGTCTAATTCCCTCTACTTCTTAGCTTACACTCAACTCTGTCCTATAATGACCTTCATATTTCCATACGTAAAGAAGAAATTAACATTCTCCTCTCTCCAAAAGGTGTTTCTGCTCCTTTAGCTCAGAGAAACCCAAATATGGGTGTTGGGAAGAATCTCTTCCTCTAAGAGGATCTTTAGGGAAAGTGTCCCCCTCCACCTGAACATACCAACAGAACAAAGGTGATCCAAACTCCCGGAAGCAGACCTATGTTCTGGAGATGAGAGTGCTTGCCCTTGTTCACCCACCCCTGTCCATTCTGTCCTAGACATTTCCTGAAACTAGCTTTATCAATTCCTTCCAGGCTTTTAACTCCCTTTACTATTTGTACAACCTTTTCTGTTTACTCAAAATAGCCTTTCTACAAATGAGCTAAACTCCATCATATGTTTTAGCTTCTTTCCACACCACATGTCCAACTGAATTCAGAGACAATTTAGTTCCTGCCAAGGGCTTTCTAGAAAGTGGTTGTGAAAGAAAATGAAGAAAGTGAATGCTTTAGCCAGTGATATAACACGAGACCCAGCAAGTCTTGCTTTGTTCCAGAACTCGAGTGATGCACAGAAAACATGCTTTCTGCCATGTATTCCAAAGCATAATATTAATAATAGATTTCAAGTTGAGAAACTCTAAAAATGATGTATAAAACATCTGTTCATCCCCCAATGTCTTCTTTGCCAGATACAGGAACTCTAAACATGCATTAAACATGTCTTCTGGTTTTTGTATTTTGATTCTTTAATATCCAGGGCCTTGTGAAAAATGGAGGGACAGCCTTGATCAGGACTCACCAATTTCTAGAGATAGTAACCAACCCATCCTTGAGCTCTTTACTCACCAGTCAATACAAACCAACCAATCCAGGGTCCACTCCCCCAACCACCTCCTCTAAGGCTGCTCACACTTAGGGCTAAAATTCCTTTTCTCTCATCACCCTAGGGCCAGGAGAACAGCTTGGGGCAGCCCCTTTGCCCCAGAACCTTCTGAAACGATTCAAATTAGTCCATGTTTAGCCTCATTACCCTGCCTCGCCCATTCCTTCCCAGGGAAACCACGACAGAGGGGCCATGTTTTCCTGTCCAATCTGTATCTTTCCTGTGTGGCTCTCCTGCCATGGCGTGCCCCCTTCTTTGGGGATCTGTGAGTAAAACAAACTATCTTTTTAATGGCATCATCTCTGGATCTGTTGGCCTCACCAGATATAAATAATAACCTATATTTTAAGAACATGTGAGACTTCCCTGGTGGTCCAATGGTTAAGAATCCACCTGCTAAAGCAGGGGACATGGGTTCAATCCCTGCTCCAGGAAGGTCCCACATGCTGGGGAGCAACTGAGTCCATGCTCTAGAGTCTGGGAGCCGCGGCTAATGAGCCCAAGTGCCACAACTACTGAAGCTCGCCTGCCTAGAGTCTGCAGTCTGCAACAGGAGAAGCCCAGGCACCACACTAGACAGTAGCCGTCACTTGTCATAGCTAGAGAAAACCCAAGTGCAGCAGTGAAGATCCAGCATGGCCCCTAAATTAGATCAATCAGTCAATCAATCTTTGAGAAAACAAAAAAAAAAAATGTACATAAAGAAAAAGGAAGACAGGCTAGGAAATGACTGGTCTGGCCCCTGCACTCTGGCCATTGTTCAAGTGGACTTGGATCAAAGTTAGTTACTCTGTCAGTTATGTTTACCAAAAGCTGCCACTTTAAACTGTTTTAGAGAAAAACTATGCTTTTTCCATAAAGCACTGTATTATACTGGCTAAGACAGCACTCAGTAGAGCTGTTAAAGATAGCTCTGATGAGGGCATCCATAGTATGATACATGTTACAAAAGATGCAGGGTTTTTTAGGGGCCCTTGACTTCTAAAGCACAGTTTGAGTCCAGCTGTAAAGATAGCTTAGAAAGAAAATAAAAGAACCCCTCATTCACCTAAACAATAAGAGCAAAGTGTTTTTAACCAAGTGTTCTGAATTCTCACATATTCCATTAAAACTGCACTGCAGGGGTTCAGTATGAAAAGTCAAGTCCCCATGACGCTGTATTCTCATCTTGGGCTCACTTCTCTTTCTCCCTGGAATAAAAGCTACTCAAAGCTTAACTTAACTTTGTGTTTCTCAAAGCTGCCACCCAGTAGGTGCTAAATATTTATTCACTGACTGAAGAAATGTTTATTACCTTCTTTGGAAACCACCATAGCAGATGACATAGAACTCAAAGATGCCCATTTACGGGGTTAAGTAAATAGGTGAGAACTAAAGCTACTCCTGGGACTTCCCTGGTGGTCCAGTGGTTAAGAATCCATTCTAATGCATGGGACGAGAGTTCGATCCCTGGTCAGGGAACTAAGATTCCACATCCATGGGCAACTAAGCCTGCATGCTGCAACTAAAACCAGATGGAACCAAATAAATATTCAAAAGGAAAAAGGTTTTTTTTTTTTTCTTCTTAAAAAAGCTACTCCCTCTAGCCCAAACCATGACAATCTCAGCCCTTGAATGCTGTGCACATCTTGGCATATCCTGACCTTTACCTGATCCCTAAATCCTGCCCAATTCTGCAATCTTCCAGTCAGCAGCCGGCCATCAGTGCAGGGGCATGGCAGTGTTCTGTGACAAATGGTCAACCTCCTGGGGTGACGTGGGTGTAGCCAGTACACGGTGACACTTACCAAGGGCTCCAGCTCCTTGCGGTCTATGAGGTTCATCTCCGTGACAAAGTAATAGAAGTGTTTGTAGCAGGTGTTGACGTGGGCCTCGGCACCCATCACAATGACCCGGTCAAAGTGGTGGATGTAGACGTGGACGAAGACCCGGAAGAGGCGGCACAGGATCTTCTTGCAGATCTGCAGGAAGTTCTTTGGGAAGGGAACACCTGGAGAAGGGAAAAGGGAACAAAACCATGATGGGGATGCTCTGGCAGGCCCGGAGCACATGCTTCAGCCTGGAGACCAGCCCAGGACTAGTCTCCTGGGCCAGCCTGCAGGTGCCTGGCTCCGTGTGGGCAACTCCACTGGACACGGCCTAAAAAGGTGGCCAAAATGGTGTTAAATTCAAATGCCAACAACCAGGAAAAAGACTGAAAAAATGAAGGAAGAGGGTCAGCTTCCTTCTTTGGTGATATCTTTTTTGGTACATATAGACATGCAGAAATAATGATTTTTAGTTTGAAATATGCATGCTTTTTTACTTTTCCCACTCATAGAGCCCAAGAAAGTTCTTTCTCTTCTTATCTTTAATATAGGAAAACTGGTAGGAGGAGGGTGATGCTCCAGGGAGACTGGCACTCCTGACACAGAGTATCAAGCAGGGGTGGGGGCTGCAGAAATCCAAAAGCCCCTTCTCATCAAAGGAAGCAGTCAATGCACAACTCAGCCAGTGGTGGCCATGTGGGGACAGAGGCCTGGGGCTGCTAGATCTTCTGGTTCTTCAAGATGATTCAGAAATCCGGGGTTCTATGTGAATTATCTGGAGTTCTGTTTTTAAAATGATATCGAGACTTTCCTGGCAATCCAGGGGTTAAGATTCTGAGCTTCCACTGCAGGGGTTGCAGGTTCATTCCTTGGTAGACCCACATGCCTTGCAGCCAAAAGGGACAATAATAATAATAATCATAGTAAAATGATAGCAATTAACCTGAAATTAAAAAAAAATATACCACAGGTCAAGACAGAACATCTTTCCGGGGATAACTTGTCCTGAAAACTACCAGTTTGCAAATTCTGATCTAAACTTTCCCTGAGATCCACTGTTTCTGGGGTGTGAAAATGCAACAAAAGCTCATGGAAACTTTGCCTGACAGTTACTGTCACCTCCTCTTCTTGAGGAAGGTGAGAGTTGGGGGTTGTTGTTCATAACACAGACTGGGTGGGTGGTCAGAGGAATCATGCAGGCTTCCTGTCTGATGACCACCACTCCCAGCTTGCTCAGAGCAACAGATAGCAGCATCCCAAGACCACTTTCTTTCTCCATCTCAAACACTGCTTAAGCTCTCGTTATTTACACTGTTCTTAGGTAGTGACATCATAGATTCCGAAGTCAGATAGCCTTCAAATTCCTATACTGCTCCTTTTCCAGTTGTACGACTACAGGCAAGTTATTTAACCTCTCTGAGCTTCAGTTTTTCCATAGGTAGGGTGAAAATACCAACTGTTGTAAGGATTAGAAGTGATACCCAGAAAATAGAGACTTTCTTAAACGGCCAGGAGAGTGTCAACATGTCTAAAATCCTCCTACAGTGCCTGGTACAAGGTAAGAGATTGCTAAATGGGAATGACAACCCCCACCCCCCCAAATCTCTCTGTTTTGTAAAATCCAGACCATCTAGCTGTTGTTATAAGGGAGCCCTTATCAGGAAAAGGTAGACATGACCACCTGCCTCTCAGCAGAATTGCAGAGCAGTGCTCAGGGCATGGCCCTGGTCCCCAGGAAGCATGGAGTTTCGCTGTCTGTGCCTCTGCTGAGTCCTAATCACAGCTGTCTGGTGAGAGACACTGGTAATGGGATCTCCTGGGACCCCTGGGGCAGGATGCGAGATGAAACACACCTGGCAGTTGGCAGAGGCAGGGTCTGCCTCCCCATTATCCAGCACTGATACTGGCTTTTTTCCCTAGAACAAAATGGCAACATATCAAATGAACCACAGGGAGAGACTGGGGCACAGCTTGGCAGCTGACTGTCTGGGCAACAGATGCTGGGGTTTAGGGGTGGGGTGAGGCAGAGCTGGGACAAGGTGGAGGGGAGCCCCTCCCAGAGCTGATAGATGGTTTCCTCTGATGAAAAGGGGCTGGTGAAGACCACTGTTGCCAGGCTCGGGGAGGCTCTGGAGCCTTCAAAGAGGCCCAAGACCTAGAGATAATGGAATCTCCCTTCATCCACATTCAAGAATATTCCCATCAGAAGGGGAGTCCTTTAAGAACACTAAGACAGTATCAGGGGTTGATATGGGTTACCCTGGCAACCTGTCTGTGATGTAGGGTTTACTAGTCCTGCATCACCAGTGAATAACACCAAACACAGATGAACTTGCTCCAGGCCACTTAGGTAAACAGTGGCAGGGCTGGGATTTGGACCAAGTCAGTCTGATTCTAAAATATAACCAATCTAGGACTTGCCGAGTGGGTCCAGTGGTTAAGAATCTGCCTTGCAATACAGGGGAATGCAGTTTCGACCCCTGGTCTGGGAAGATCCCACACGCCCCGGAGCAACTAAGCCCATGAGCCATAGCTAGAGAGTCTGTGCTGCAACAAAGACCCACGCAACCAAATGAATAAATAAAACCTAACAGANGCCGGCAAAGAATGGAGGGCTTTGGACCCAGGCTTGTCTAACTCCAAGCACCCTGAAATCTGGAGTTGTTGCTCTGGGGTTCTGCACACACCTCCAGCTCCCAAGCCCTTCCTTCCTGAGTAGCCTGAATAGCCTCAGGTGCACTTATCTTTCCTGTTACTGGCTGCTAGGGCACATGGCAGGGAGTGGGATTTCCCAGGCAAAAATACTAGAGTGGGTTGCCATTTCCTCTGCCAGGGGATCTTCCCAACCTGGGGATCGAACCTGCGTCTCCTGCATTGCAGGTGGACTCTTTACCACTGAGCCACCAGGGAAGCCCAGTTCCCATGAAACAGCCGCAGAAAACTGAACTCTGAGAGCCTTGATATGTGTGTTGTGACGTATTCCCAGTGAAACGCTGGGCAGTGATATTTCAGCGTTTTGTTTGTTTGTCTAATATAACTGTGGCTTAGCTCAGCCACAGTGTTTGCCTGGCCCAGGAGGTAGAGGGGTGGTTAGGCTCTGAACAAGACTCGGGCTCTTTCTTTGGCATCCGGCTACTACAGCCCATGGCATAGGCGGCCTCACTGTTGAGACGATCATTGTTTGACCTCCACTTAGCTCAGTACCTGGGTTGTAAGAGCTCAAAAAATGTTTGCTTGCTTTAAATGAATGCAACCTGGCAGTAGGAAGAACGAAAGGCTAATGAACCATCTCAAATGGACACTGGGCTTGTTACCATGGCAGCCAGAAGCTGAGAAGGCCATGCTAGGCTCAGGGCAGAGGGCAGCCTGTGTGTTCCATGGGGCATCACTGACTCACTCAACACTGGATCCAACCGCCTCCTTTTGTTCCTTCAGCTTCTCTTTGTACATAAGATACTGGGGACCCTCCACTTTTGTGTTTCCCAAGGTCTGTCTTAAAAAAGACTAATTCTGGGAGATCCTTGGTTAAAAGCTATACTTGACCTTATATTTATTAAAAATACTTTTTATAAAACTTTGCAATATACCTAACCATAGTAAAGAATCTGAGAATGCCTGTAGTCAAAAGTTCTATTTAACTCTGGAACTTCCTTTTACCTATAATAGCAACTGGTTTAAAAGTCTCTAATCAGACTTCCTAGGTTTCATTTCCGGCTCTAGTATCCAGTAACAAGATAGTGACACCCAAACAACTTAGTATGTCTAACCCACAGTTTCCCCATCGTGAAAGAAACAGGGATGTGAATATTATCTGTAGCTCAGGTGGTTGTGAGGATTAAATTCACACATGTAAAAGGCTTTGCTAATACTCTGCAGACAGGAAGCACTCTTGTGAACTGTTAAGTTTTAGTATTGCATGGACCAAACAGTCTTTGTAATATACTTTTGGATTAAATTCTTCCTGCACATGTATTTTCAGGAGGGCAGTCTTGGTATTAATGCATCATTTTGCAAAGAACTAGAGTAGTAGGTACTTGATTAAGCCCTGGATTATATTCAGCCTTGCATTATTTTCTACTTATTTCTCATATTTATGTCTTGTATTACTGTAAGTTCCCTGAACAACGGGGCTGTCTTATACTTTGATTCTATCTTTTAAAGCACCTGGCACAGGGCTAGATAGGGAATACTCATCAATCAAAACTGAGCCATAAGACTGCAGTGGTCTTATTTAGTCGAAATGTGAATCCATCGTCTCCTATTTGAGGGAGGAAAAAAGCCTACAGCAGAAATGATAGCTTTTTCCCAGAGACCTGATCGGGTCCTGGCGTGGAATGCTGCACAATGATCTTCTAGGGAGGAGGGCTCTGAGATGAAGAACATTTTGATCTAGCCTAGAGGGTGGGAAGAAAAACTCCGAAACCCCTCCTTTTATCATGAAAACCTCCCGTCTTTACCTTTCCATACAGTTGTTTCTGGGGAGGGGGGGTGATTGATAGTTAAATTTCAGTCACTGTACTCAATTAGAAAGTTAATACCAGACAATATTAACCAGCAGTCTCAGCTGGAATAGACTGCCTAGATTTGGAGTTAAAGTTTGACTAGTCTTATAATAACCCAGACAAACCTTCCGACAATAATCTTGGACAGGTACACATGGATCGTGGAAAACAACGTTTGACCCAAAGGTCTCTAAATGATTTGTAAGCACGGACTAATCTCGGCACCTCCCCTGAGTCTCAGATTCAAGCTGGAAAATGTCAGATTCCTAGAAGCTGGCTAGATGCGTTCAGATGAGTTCTGCAAAATGGTGATAGATATCTAGCTGTCTAGGGTGATAGATATCTAGCTTCTAGGGAAGGACGAGGATGGCCTCGGGGCAAGTGGTGTGGCTTAGGCCTCTATGTGAGCCTAACATAGAACCTGGAGAAGGCAATGGCACCCCACTCCAGTACTCTTGCCTGGAAAATCCCATGGATGGAGGAGCCTGGTAGGCTGCAGTCCATGGAGTCGCTATGAGTCGGACATGACTGAGCGACTTCACTTTCACTTTTCACTTTCATGCATTGGAGGAGGAAATGGCAACCCACTCCAGTGTTCCTACCTAGAGAATCCCAGGGACAGGGGAGCCTGGAGGGCTGCCGTCTATGCGGTCACATAGAATCTGACACGACTGAAGTGA